ATGGTACACTAGCCCCCTTTCTTACAACCCACCTTCCCCGTAAAAACCTTTCAACGCGGAATTGAGTCATTTCCCATGGTATATTAGCAATAATGCTTCAAGGTTATTTCCCGCAAAAAAGGCTGAAAATAAATATATGTCCAGAGAGCAGCAGCTATAACAAAGATAGCTATTAGAGAGTTAACAAAGATAGCTATTAGAGCAGTAACAAAGATAGCTATTAAACACTAAAAATATCCGACTACTGGAACGGTGGCCTCAGAACTCGTTTCGTGCGAGGAATACCTTCCTTCCTTCCTCCCCCTCCCTCCCTCCCCTCCCCCACCACCGCCGCCATTGCAAACCCCCTCCCCTCCCCCTCCCACACCGGTGCCACTGCAAACCCCCCCTTACCACCGCCGCCACTTCAAACCCCCGGAAAAACACCCTCTGAAATGTATTCAAAGTTTGCTTAGTTCTTACAACGAAAAGAGGTCGGTATGCGTGCGTGCGTGCGTGCGTGTGAGTGCGTGCGTGCGCGCGCGCGCAAGTGCCTGCAATAAATACCAACCACGGGCAACCAAACACAACCTGCCTCTCTCTCTCCTCTCGCTCTCTCTNATGATGGGTGGATGGATGGATGGATGGATGGCGTGGATGCGATGGGGATGAATGATGGAGGGATGGATGGATGGATTTGATGTGAATGTTGATGGTATGGATGGATGGATGAGATGGAAGGTAATGGATGGATGGATGGATAGTATGGTATATGGCATGAATGGATATGTATGGATGGATGGTAAATGGATGGATGGAGGTGGAAGGCCATGATGGAATGATGAATGGAGCATGGGATGTGATGGATGGATGGGTGATGGATGGATGCATGGGTTGGATGGATCTGTGGATGGATGGCTGATGGCATGGCATGGATGGATGGATGGGATGGATGGATGATTGGTCAATGATATGGATGGCTTGGATCGGATGGATGGTATGGTATGGATGGATTGGATTTATTGGATGGCATGGTATTGGATGCTCTGAAATTGATGGATGGGCATGAATGGATGGATGGTATGGATGGATGGATGGGATGGATGGTGGGATGATTGATGGATGGATGGATGGAATGGTACGGGACGGACGGACGACGGACGGACGGACGGACGACGGGATGGTAATGTGTGGATGGATATGGAGGATGGTATGGTGGTGAACGCGACGGAACGGGAAACCGGATGGAACGGACGCGACGGCATGGATGGATGGATTGGGATGGTATTGTGATGGATGGTGGTCATGGTAAGTGGATGCTGATATGGATTGGACGCTGCGATAGCGGGTAAGGCAAACGGTGGCGCGCGAGTGGGCTGCAAATCTGTGAAACCGTACAAGAGAGAGAGAGAGACTCGCGCGCTGAGGAGTGTGACTGAGGCGGAGAGCGAGAGGGAGAAGGAGAGAGAGAGAGAGAGGAGGGATGAGAGAGACGGTAGAGGAGGAGATGGAGGAGAGAGAGAGAGAGGAGAGATGAGGCCGGAGTGGAGAGATGAGAGAGAGAGAGTAATAAGAGGGAGAGAGAAAGAGCAGAGAAAGATAGAGGAGAGAGAGAGGAGAGAAGATGAGAGAGAAGAGAGGTGAGGAGAGAGATAGAGAGAGAGAGAGAGAGAGAGAGAGAGAGAGAGACGAGAGAGAGAGAGGGAGAGGGGCGAGAGACGAGAGAAAGAATAGCCGATGAGGATGCGAGAAGAAAGCCGAGAGAGAAAGAGATAGCCTAGAGAAAGCGAGAGAGAAAAAAGAGAGGAGAGAGAAAAAGACGACTGAGAGAAAAAGATGGAGAGCGAGAGAGACGAGATAGTAGATAGTATAGAGAGCAGGAGAGAGAAGATGAGAGAGATGAGAGAGAGAGCGAGTAGCGAGAGATAGCGAAGAGGCGAGAGAGAGAAGAGAGAGAGAGAGAAGAGAGACTGCAGGAGAGAGAGAGAGGGAGAGAGAGAAGAGGGAGGAGGAACGAGAGAGAG